AAATTAGTAATAGTGAATTGGTGGCATTAAAGATGAGAATCCTTTACAAGAGAGGAAGAAGTATTAAGGATTGTGAAATTTGCCTGCATTTAAAATTCAAGTTACTTTGGATTTATAGTTACAATAAAAAGATCAAAAAAAAAAAATGGAGTTCAGAGCTGAACATGTTGGCTATGGATAGGCTTGGCAAAACTACTCGGTGTTCTTGGGTATTATTTGGGCGGAAATAATTGGATTCAGTGCAACTTGATCTGTATTTAAAAAAAAATCATGAAGTTTTTGCAGTACATAAGAATTTGAGTATGACTATCAACTGCTTGATGCAACATTCTTAGAATTTAGGCAAGGGTATGATTTTGCTATTCATATTTACTACAGATATAATAACTACTTATTTGTTTTGCATAAAAATTATGGGAGTGCTGGTGTCTTACGGGAACATCCACAGGCCTGAGCAAGAGTATTACTTCATATTTTTAGTAATTTTTTGGCCAACTATAAATGGCAGTGTTCTGTCTTGCTCTCTTTCCTTCTGGGTTGAAGTGAATTAATGGTAGGAAAGCAACTAAAAATAAGGGAGTGCTAAGAAGTTTCGACATCTGAATGCATACATGCTGTTAGGTGTTTACTTCTCAAACTTGGTCCAGTAGTTTTCCATTGTATTTGCTGATCTAATTAAGTTGTTAAATCCACTGTATGCACAGTATGTCATTAACCTGCAGCAGTCAAACCACAGAATCCAGATTAAGGAAAACTCATTTTTTCATTATTTTATATTCTGTCAAACAAACAAACAAACGTCCTATTTGAAGACGGCCTGTTCAGAGCAACATTCACTTCTTAGTTTAGGGTTTAAATGTCTACTTGATTTGCATTTACATCAGATGTGGTAGAATGTTTGTGTTTAGAGAAATGAAGTGGTAATATCCCATGTCTAAGCTTGCTGAGAGAATTTGCTTCCGGGTTTGTCTATCTTGATAGATTTCTTCATAAAAACAACTTTATATGGCTCAGTGTTCTGAGACTACTTATGCTGCTCATAGTTATTGCTTAAAAAAGGGAAATGGGAAAGATGTATTTGTCAGGTAGAACTAAGTAAAATAGTAATGATTTTAAATTATTTCACTGTGGGTTTGGTTTTGTGTGTTGTTTTGTGGTGGTTTTTTTATTTGTTTGCTTAGGTATTTTGTCCTCATGTTGTTGTAGAGCTCATCTTAGTGGAAACTCCAAAGGAATTCTTAATGTATGACAACAACTGATAATGAAACAAAAGAGAGTTTTAAAGTAGTTTGAGTTAGGTGTCTTTGCTCATGAAGCTAGCTTGCTACCTTACTGTTTTATAAATAGTTCAATTCCTGTATTTCACTATTGTTCATCCAAAACACATTTGCTTTCAGCTGTCTCTTATGGACGTTGTCATAATCTTGCATCAGTAAAAAAAAGCATGTTTTATGCTAGAAGGGCGTTGTTGAGAAGCGTAAAGATTTCGGAGCAAGAGCTCCTGTGGAAAGTGCTCTTGTGAAAAGGTAGCCAAGGTAGCTGAATGATGTATAAGAAGGGAAGGAGATAAAGTGTATTTAACTGTGGGAACGAGAAGTTCTGTTTCTCTCTTTTCAGTAGCGTTAACTAGAGCACTGGATAATTTGTTTGCTCTGTGGTAATGATACTCCTATATTCTTTTCAAGGTTATTGTTCCCTTTATTTATTTTTTTCTTTTCACCATTTTTGTGAAACCTCTGCTGTGCTGTTCATAAGTGAGTGGCAGCTTCTGTTTTGCCTGACCTTACATTCCTCCTGAGAGGCAAAGTGTGCTATATCAAAATGCTAGATTTTCTCTGCAGCAGATTGTAAAATGCCAGATATGCTTCTTATCTATTTTGGGAAGCTTATGGTAGTTTTAAGTTGCAATTTGAGTAAAGACTTGCTTGCTCAGTTCTTTCTTCCTTAGTCTCCTGTTCTTTCTTCCTTAAAAACTGAGGGTGTTTACTTTTGGTATGTAGACAAATTATTATTTTTTTTTAAACAACTCTTTATTTGCTAGGTCACTTGCTATGTTTCTGGAATCACCAGTTTCTCCAAAAGCTGTGGCTTTACCATTAATATTTCAGCAAGCAGATTTTAATCATTATAAATAATGAGGATCAGTATCTTGGCTTATTTGAGACAGTGTGCATGTTTCATTAGTTGTGCTTAACTAGATTTCTTTATAATTTTAGTAGCTGCATGCAGAAGTGTGTAGAAGAAAAAAAAAACATGGTGTTTTCATGAAGCTAACTTGGAAAATTGTTTTTTCTAACAGAAACAAATGTAAAGATTTAGGAAAAATTCTGTGTAATAGAATCTAAACCCCTACTGTTACTGTCCAGTCTGTGAGTTAAATATCCAAAATTAACCAGAGAAAAGTATTGTACTAACTAGGCCCTTGTTTTTGTTAAATTGTGTGTTTAATGGCTTGCTTTGCTTGGGGCAAGCAATTAAAATTAGGCTGGTATACTCCTGTTTATGGAACATACTCCTATGCCATTATACATCTTTGGTCACTTCAGATGTAAAATGACTGTTTCTCTTTCTCTTGCATGAGCAGAGCAGGATATTGAGCTACCCTTCTAACTTGGTTAATCTTGTAGCGGTTAACACTTTTGTGGGAAGCTTGTAAACAGGGCGATAAAGTTTTTATGCTAGGGTTTTCCTCACATATGAAATAATGCTTTTGAGTTGTGGAGTATGTGGAAATAAACTGTGAAATATTTATGGTTTATCCATTAGCTACGTAGCCTATGTGACCTATTGAATTAGAAGTGGGTCTGCTTTCTAATAAGAAAAGAAGCTACTTAAGCTGCAAAAAGATAAAAATGATTGCTTGCACTCCTAATATTAACTCGTTCAGTCCTTATCTGTAAGGCACAAAATGAGATCAGTCTAGAAATCAATTTGTATAAATTTTATAGCTGCTGTGTATGCAGGATGTTCTTCCAGGTTCTAAGGTGTAATAGCAGCTTTCTCGTGAATAAATGTCACAAGAACATTACAGTATAAATACTGTCGTTATGTTCTGTAAAAGTAGCATATAGAAAGAAAATTGTTGCGTATTAATGAGCTTCTAAAATGTTTTTTTTTAGCCTGCTGCTAAAATGCTTGTAGCACAGAACTGCTTTAAGATTGGTCTCCAAATCTGCACTAATGATGCAGATTACCAAGACTGTACTGTCACAAGGCACTTTTTCTGTGTGTATCTAAGGCAGTTAAGGTGGGTCTAAGCCAAGCAGTGAGAGGCTGTGTAGTTCATGAGAACAATCAATAAGAATCTCTTAAGAATAATTAGTTATCTATTTAATGTTAGGTAATTTGATTTGCAAATGTCTACAAAAGAAGCCACATGAATTGAAAAAGCTGGTGTAAATAGTTCTCAAGGTAAAGATTAATTTGCTTATTATACTTTACAGTATAAATATTTCACTTTATTTTTGATAACTCAGTTCTGTGTGGGTGTGAAATTGAAGTAATAATGCTGTTTACAGAATGCCAAGTCATACTATAAATTTACCAAGGCTAAGACTGCCTGTGTGACATTAATTCAGTTCCTTATTTATATGTATGGTGAAAACATTTGATTACTTTGTTTCATACTATTTTTCCTTTTAAATTAATCTGTTTGTAGCTCTGCTTTTTCTTAAGGGAAACTGAAGAAACTGATTCTAAATAGGATGGTAGTAGATACCCATGGAATTCAGGGGTAGCAGACACCCACATGATTTCTGGATAGAATGAATGTTTTCAGATTTGTTGTACCAGCAAGTAAACTAACTAAGAACAATAGTAAGTTGCCATCACCTGTGGTCCTAGTGGTGGATGACAAGCTTTGCCAAGTGGTTTCATGGTTACTTTCAGCAAAAAGAGTGATTACTGTTTAGCCTTTTGATTCCCTTCCAGGGGCTGGAGAAGCGTGCTCTTTTTGGTACAGAGTTTGCTGCTACAACTCTGAAGAAAATTTGGCATTGATAAAGTTAGGGAGAGCATCTGTTATGAAGTTGAGGGCAAACTTCTTTTACGACAAGAAGAACGTGGCTTGTTTAATTTAACTGAAGGCTGAGGAAGTACAGTTGTCATCTAACTAATACATATGCACATATTTCTCCATCCTCACCTCCAGGTGGTGGAGGGTAGCAGAAGGGGGAATACGTATCTAAGCTGAAAGCTATTACTGCTTCAAGAGCAAGAACGTACAAACAGTTCTTAAATATATTTATGGAGGAAGAATTTTTCTAAGTACTGGAGCAAGAAAGGGTAACTTCCATTAGGATTTTGTGTCACAGCTCTCAACTGCTTTCGTGAAAGGGAATGAAGACTTAGTGCCTATGGTAACTTTGTCTGGGCTTCATGGCCCCAAAGCTCTTCTCCATTCCTAGGAGGAAACGTGCTAATGGGTGCATCTCATCATGTGCAAAATCTTTTCAGCAAACTGTAGAGGTGGATTTTCTGCATAATTTCTGGCAACCTGTTCTTGAAAAGATATAAAGCAGATTTCCTCATTATCATTCTCTTTAATACAGTATCCCATCCATTTAGTAGAAACTAAGCAAATGGATTGTACCAAATACTCTATAGAATATTTCATCCTAGTTAATTTGACAGTCCTTTTCATTATAGGAACCTCTTTGAGATGCTTTTATTCCTCTTAAGCATCAGCCACCCTTTGTCTAACTTGAAACTACTTCTGTATTCTGTAATGACTCCTTTGTGGGCAGATGAAGTATTTTTTTTAAATGTCTTCGGTGAGTGAGATTAGGAATGACAGTGTGGCAGGAGTTCTGCATAAAGTCCCTTTAAAAGCACCATTGTGTAATGCATTGTCAAATATGCACTATTTTTTTAACCTCCCTCTTCAAGGGAAACGTCTTGTTGCTGTTAAGGGAACATAGTTGTTTACAGTTATATTGCAATATAACAAACATCCCATTCCTTCTACATATGAGATGTAATTTTTTTTTTTTTTCCTTCAGCCCAGTGTATTAATCGTAAGTTACAAGGAACTATCAAAAGCAGCTTCTCAGTTTGGACCTTATAAACAAGCAGAATGGCGGCCTGACAGCACCATGATAGCTGTTTCAGTAAGTAGGGTTTTTACTTCTTACTGTGGTTAAACTATTGCAAAGACAGTTTTGTATTACTAGTTTCTGTGCTTATACAAACTTGCAGACTGTATATACATTTAATTGATATTTATCTTGTGAAAATATATAATAGTACCAACTACGTTTTTTTGGGTGATAGAAGCTTCCTTTAGTAATTTTAATTCTTTTTTTCCTCTGAAGAATGAACTGCAGTTCTTTGTATTAAAATAATGTTTAGATGTATTGGCAAGGGGTGATCCAGCATCTCATTACTTTAGTAATCTGGTCGCAAAGAATAAGTGAATTTAAAGACATGTGAATGAAATAAATAGTTGAGGAGTTAGGTGACATAAGCATATTTAGCTTGATAAATAGGGTTTACAGATGTTTTAGAAAGGTGAGTCTTAAGAGGATGAAACTATGGCTTTATTAAGGTGCAGTATCTTTTGGTGATTAAAAAAAAATTGCAAGGCACTGAGAACACAGGAACAAGGGCAGCGATAGGTGATACATAGACTCTTCTGTTGAGTCTTAAAGGTAAAGATGAAATCTTGTCTCACATGGAAATAAAATCTTGTTTCGTAGCTGATGCTGTGCTCGTAGCAGTAGAATGGACCATTTCAGCACCAGCATTTAAAAATTCGAGCTGCGATGTAGATGCAACAAAGGTGGGAGTAGAGTTTAGAGGAGTCAGAATATGGGATGACTCTTGGTGACTTTTGGTCAGGTCTTATGTTAGGACCAGGTCTTAAATTGGGTGAGTTTGTTTTTCTAGCTTTTAAAATCGAGGCTATTGTATTTAAGATTTTCTTGTGAGAAGGTGCAGAAGAAAAGAATGAAATATTACACTTCCCATCAGAAGCTGATTATGTGGAATTACAAACTAGATAACAACTACTGTATTTGTTGGTACACTGACTTAATCTCCTAGTATAAACCATCTTTCATGCTTAAAATGATGCCTGTAATGCTTTGTAGTTTTTAAACCAATTGGATATTGTTATCTCAGTGGAAAATACCAGATGGTTTATGGAATAGTTCGTGTCTCTATCAATATCATCATGACTTAAAATCCACTAAACTTCCTGTGCTCCTGTTTCTTGTGTGTAATGCAGCAGTAGACTTTTCTGAGTAGCTGGTTTGGAATGTTTAAATCGCCTAAAAGGATCTCATGGAATCAATGCAGTAAAGTATTTCTGTTAGTGTCAGATTATATTTTCAGTTAGCAAATGCTAATATTTACTAGCAAAGGCAGAAAGACTTCTGTAACACTTACTGTGAATAAAAAAGAATTTTTCAATTTTATAGTACAGCATACAAGCACAAGTAAACTATACTAACACATTTTAATTATACCTTTATGCAGTAATTGAGAAGAGATTTAAATTGTTATATTGAATTACTTTGCATATTATGTTTTTTCTGTGATGTTGGGATCCGTTTGCTCAGGAGACCTTATGGTTCATCTGACAGTCGGACTAGCTTTAATTTCTGCCAGTTCAGTTACTGTACTTTCAAGTTTTTCTGCAGCTAAATCTGTGGTGCTGTTTTTGGCAGATGATGTCAGAATCTAAATACCCACAAAGTCTCAGTTTGTAAACTTAAGTTTTACAAATTAAAATCCAAAATGGTCAAACAGTTTATAAAACAATGAGTATCATGAGATTTCTGGTATTCTTCATGTTTCTTACGCTTATATTGCATCTCCTGGGTGTATATATACAAATAATATAGTCAAGCATGTTTGTTATTGTAGTTTTAACATCAGTTCTGTTTTGCAAGTTTTTTTAATATGCTTTGGGAATATATATGAAGTTTAATTTGAAACAGTTAATGAGTCTTGCTGAAAGACCACATTTACAAATATTGGTATTTTTGTTACAGAGAGACAGGGTGGACAGGCAGTTTTGGGAGCTTAATGAAGGTGTTCCTGCT